GYCATGGTAAATTTCTGGTTAGAAATCCTTGCTGCTTCCCTTTCATCAGGTTTTTCTGCTTTCACTGCTGCAGGGTGTTTTTTATGCAGCAATAATTTGCACCTCCAGAGTGAAACTGGGACAGGCGWAAAGAGAGGCTGGTCAGAAGATGCAGCCTCCCCACAGATATTTTTGATRACAGAGAGTGAAGGGAATTTGTGCCTCAATCTCCCAGCACACAGGCTGAGGTATCAGAGGATTTTTGACTACAAAGACAAGAAGCAAGAGAAAGGTGTRGATATTTAAGAGGATGGAAATACTACAGAAACTCTCACAAAATGGCTGTAAACAAAGCTGGGAATAAGAAATTTGCCAGAATAATTAGGAATTAATTTGTTTCGGTACCTAATATTGATGAGGAATGGCACTGGGATGTGAAGGGAGGGGCTTTTGAGGGTCTAATTTGGAATTTGGAGTTTAAGGAGTTGAGAGTTTTAGCTCATGTCATGAAATCTAGTGAATTTAAACCCGTCATATTTCCAGGGGCATTTTTTACCTTATTAACTGCAAATAAAGAGGGGTTTGTTGTAAGAGCTGAACCTAACCCCAAATGTCCATCTCATGCTTTGCCAGCTGTCACTGTAATGTGGCAAAAGCTCCTCACCTGATTTGCTCTCAGAAAAACGGCCTTGACAGAGCAATACAGAGCAATACAGAGCAATATAGGAAGATTTTATGTCAGTTCCCTGCAAGCCTAATTCTGTGTCTCAAGAAAATCCAGGAAGCTGGTTTGGCTAACTTGCATCCTCACAAGTGGGGGATGGAACATAATGTCTCAGAAAAGAGAGTCCATTAAATAGTTAAAAAAAAAGTTAAAGGGAAATTAGAGTCTGTCTCAAAGACACAAGCATTTCCTTTTGCCATTTTAAAGTMATTTTAAAATCGATTTACCCATTTAAACAATGCAGACTGAACAAGGTTATTGAGAGTACTGGGATTTRTCATGGCTAAAGAAGACAATTTTCTCTAAAACAGACCCTGTGTAGATTGCTCAGGATGACCAGCTAAGGAAGAGAGAGCCCACACACGATCCCCCACAATGTGCACTAATGTGAATAGTGGGATAAAGGGGGATTCATGGTTTTTATCATCATGTGCCCTGTGGGGGGCATTCAATGTGAAATATGGGGCTACCATTAAAATCATTCCTGAAGCTAAATCCCTGCATCCTCCTGAGCCATCATTCCTCAGTGATGTTCTGTGTTAGACACTCCTGAGTTGCAGATGCAAAAGGCAACAACCTTGGTTGCCTAAAGCTCTGTACAYACCATTAATATCCCATCACTGAGGAGTGAAAAAGCACTGATGCAGTGGGGTCAGATGCATTCCCCTGGCCACAAGGTGAGAAGTTGATAAAATTCCTTTCATGCAGTGGAATCTCCTTGTTGCTTGGATTTTATGGACTCTCCTAAAGAAAATGTGATAATTTTTAATTTACATGGACTTTGATTGGTACTATAATTCAAGCCATTTCAAACATGTGAGCTCAACTTATTTTTATACTGTTTTTTACTACACATTTATAAAAAGATAATTATCAAAGCTCACTCTAAGTGTGTGTGTTACAAAGAACTCAGCACAGTGAACATGAGCTGATGATTTCTSTCTATAAAGATATTATTCCCACAGTGTCAACAGTGTGATTTTACTCACACCAGCACAGAGAACGTTGAACAAAATGACAAATACCGGATTTAAAGGCTTTCTACTGTTTCTTTCCAAGTCATATTGACCATGATGATAGTTAAGCTGTGGCAGGGAGATTGTTCCTGTATCCTGTTCTTGTTGAATGTGTTCAGTTAGCTCATTTGGAGGGACTAGAACTCTGCAGTTTAGAATTGTTTTGAGATCACTTGAATCATATTTCTCAGATTGAGTTTCTTAGAAACAAAGGTTTTGTCACATCTGGTAACACAGAAACAGAACAGTAACAGAACAGTAACAGAAACATTAACTCCCAACCCTGCAAGCATCTGTACATATCAGAAATATGCTGTAAAATACAAACTCCAAATATCCTGAAACTGTTTCATTCATACCCCCTGTATTTTGTTTTTATATTTCCTTTCTACACCTCATATGAAATCCATGTGACAGATGCTAGCACAGATCTGAGACTCCTTAAAAAGTCATTAATTCTTCTAAATGGATCTTTATGGATAGCAGCACTGTGCATTTTGGGCTGTCAAGACATATTGACCAAATGGCTTTTCTGTAACCACTATGTAACTATGGCAGGCTAATGACAAAATTCCATGCATGGCTTCCCTTTAAATCTACATAAAATCTAATGCAAGAAAGTGGTGAGGGGAAGTGTTTGTGGTGATGATCAGAGTGAATCTCAAATGAAACTTTTTGATTTAGGTATCAGAACAATTATTAATATCCCAAGGAATTTTTTACAGATTGATTTAACAATAATGTATTTTATATAAATAGTGTTTTATATAAATAGTGTTTTATATAAATAGTGCTATTGGACTTCCAGCTGGTAAGCTGGGAGTGGGCAGTCCTGAGTGGGGAGCTCTCCCTCAGCTACAGACATGGGGACTCTGTTTCATCAGCCTTCCCCTTAAATCCCTTTTCCATTCATCTTGTGGTTTAAAGCTCAGCTATGAAATCTTCCAAAAACATTGTAGACTAATAACCCTTTGGCCAAATAAAGGCTTTGTGCTTTCTACTGAAACCATTTCTGAAAGTGGGGTTTGGCAGAAGTGGTGCCCAGGAGCCCTGGGCTCCACGCTCCTGCTCTGGATGCTGCAGTGCTGGTGCCTCTTGCAGGTTAATGCCTTGGTGGCTGCTCCTTTGCTTTTCATTCCCTGAATTCTCCCACTGCAGAGGTTTTTACTGCYAATGCAGTTCCTTTCCTTGCTGCTCTTCATTTCTGTTCTGCTGATGCCACAGCTGCATTATTAGCTTCTGGCCATGCTAGTTTAGCTTTAAATTACATCTTGCCCTCCTGGAATTAAAAGGAGGGGGTGCATTAATTTAGGCAGTGCTGTGTTTCAGTAAATCTACTCTTCAAAATATTATCATATGCAATGRGATTGGTCCCAGGGAGTTAATATTTTAAATGCACAAGGTCAAGCATGTCTTGTTTCAGCTTCCAGGCCATGTCTGACAGTCAGCTTTCCTGATGTTAGCACCCATCAGTCCSAGTACTCTCCAAGCTCTACTAATTAAAAATAGCCACTGCAGTGTTTGCCATGCAGGACAGTATAAAGGAAGATGTACAGGAATTTTTCAGGCTTTACATAATGCAGTAATTCAGGCAGTGCCTCTCATCCAGTGCTTTTCTGAGCAGAGGTACAATAGTCTGGAGAACGCATTAAAAGCAAGTTTCAAAGTCTCCATGTAGCTTTGCTTTCAGCCATCTGCTGTCCCTGAAGTTTCCCAAGTTGTGTTGCTAAGATATAAAAATTTGCTAAGATTTTGATGATTTGCTAAAGTTGCTTTTCTAAAATATTTAACTGTGGGAGCAGTGAGAAAACAGCCGAAGCATTAACAATAATCTTTGCTTTGGAGCTGTGATGTAGGACTGTAATTACTGGGCTGAGTAGTGTTTTCCAGTGTGTGCAGTGGGATCCTGGGCCCTCAGGAACACAGTCAGCTCAGCCCAGCAGGGAATCCTGAGTGGCTTTACACCTTTCTGTGTCCCAGAATGATTCTGACAACAAGCAGGACACAAGAGAMTTAACCCATGTCAGGCCTGTTACAGAAGCAACTGCAGAATTTAGTGAAAAACATGGTGAAAAATCAGAGCTATCCTGTGCTACTCTTCTCTCCTTCAAACAGAGCTCCACAGAGGTGGAAAAACCTTCTGTGAGGCTGTTTCAAACTGGAAAYGGAAGCATTCTGTGGCATGATCTTTGGTGATCTGTCTGCTAAAGCAATATATTGTCAGAGTTTGTCTCAGGWATCTGGCCAACTGCCCAACTCAAAGGCTTGCTTGGTTGTCAGCTGGCTGCCTTTCATTAGTAAAGACTCATGGGTGTGGGTCCAAAATCCAGTCTAAACTCTTAAGTGGATTTATCTAAAATTCTACACATTGACATGCCAGGTTCAGAATAATTTTTCACATGTGAACTTTCTGTGAAAATATTTACATAATCTCTAAAAGCCCATKTGTTGTCCAGTGTGACTTGGTAATACATAACAGGCTGCTTGTAGAACATGCATAGAATAAAAAAAAGCAAAGATCTATGTATTGTGTGCTCACAGTGATGAGTTGCTCTATATCACAGTCAGAAAAGGGATGGTCTTACAGTTATTTAACTCAGAGTCTGCTTAAAAGGAAGAAAAAAAGGAAAAAAAAGGAGGGCATGGCTCTCCTGCATGTTCAGTTCAACCACTGTTTGCAAGACACAGCAATACAAAAAGCTTGAAGTGACRTTCTGCTTAAAATTATTTCTGTTGGTTTGTTGGAGGCATTAACTGAATTCCTTCATTTCTGGATCTCCAAGTGCATGAGGGACATGGAGGAGATGCTCCTGTGGCCCATGAGGCAGTTCTTGTACCCTGTGAATGTGAGCATGCAAATTTAGAAGGAACTGCTGTATAATTTCTGGAATTTGTTTTTTTTTCTGTTTCCTTCTGATCTGAGCCCTCTCAAGGTCAATAACAAATGTAACTTGAAAGTTATTGGAAAAAGTATATATTTTTGCCTTTGAAACATTGTCTTGTAAATGCATTCCTTTCAAAGAAAGRTGATTGTCAGTTATTCTGCTTGTGTGTTTCATTAGTATGGCATCACCATGATAAATTTTAATATGAATATCACTAAATGACAACTGCCTGTCCACACCTTTATTTAATAAAGATATATTCTACTATGGAAAACTTGAACTTACACTCAAGCTAAACAAGGTCTGTCTGCATTCAGAGTTTGTGTGAGCTGAATTTTTGCTGTGGGCTTTGCCAGTGCCGGACTGTAACCCTGAGGAGATCAGGCAAACACTTACCATGGAGGTGGATCAGGATACATGATGTTCACCTGAGAAAGGATGTCCAGATAGGAACCAAAATCACAGGCTGGGGGAAACTCCTCCGTACAGCTGGATCTCAGCTCTCCAGAAGAGCCGCCATGAGAGAAGCCATCTGGAGCTGGAAAACAACAATTTATGCTGGCTGCTCTTCCCCTCCCCTCTCTGTTAGTCTTTATAACACTGCCACAAATTAGAAAACAAACCCTTTCTGAGGCAGAGGAATTGTGGATATTTCAGAACAATCAGGTGCACGGGATATTTTTATATCTTTAGGAGCAGATTAACACYRTCTGTGGATGAGCTGTKGTGTTTCAGGCTGTGGTACAGGGAYTGTACATTTAGTGCTGCCCTACAAGGTAGATGGAAGTTCTAAAGCTTTTCTTATATCTCAAAGGCTGAAAAGGAGTATGGGTTCTACGATGTGCAGCTTCAAATATCTGTAGGGTCACTAAAATTCCCAGGAGTTACATCCATGGAAAACTTATCCTTTCCGGGAGGGGYTTAAAAGGAGGGGCAGGTCTTTGATTGAAAGTGTTTGCTGAGAAAATGCTGTTCTCAACAGAGACACCRGCAAAAATGGGATAAGCTGGAAAACAGTAGAGAAAAATTATCCTGCTGCCTGCTCCAGGGATTTCTTAATGTTTCCATGCAAGAGCTTCCCAGGTCCCCCACTCCTAAKCAGTCAGTGCTATTTTGGGTGCTAGAGGCCAGTCACTGTGTGCTCATGTGAAATGGACAGTGGGTACTGGGGCAGATATTCACTGTTGCACTCACACTAACAGCATTTGCCCAGAGGTTGTTGCTCGCTGCTGAGATGAGAGCAGCTCTGGCTTTCCAACAAACAGAAATCACAGCAAATGCTGTACCAAGGCTATAGGGAGATATGAAAATGCTACAGAGAATAAATCTTATCCCATATGGAGGGCAAACAAGCTGTCTAGGAACTGCTGTCAGCACTTCCTGTGTTGTGTCAGTGCTATTAACCATTATTAACCATTAGCTATGGGCTGTACTCTGGGAATTCAGCCCCAGCACAAAGATGCCATTACCCTGCACAGCTGCCTGTGACTTATCCTATTATTTAATTGYATTTTTTCATCCCTTGCACGTGGCAGGTGCTTTTGGGTGCCCTTAGCCCCAGCCTATCCCCCAAGTGAAGCATTTCCCTGTTGCTCCGCTGCCTTACCATCCGCAGGCTCCCTCCTGAGGCGGGGCTGGCCCAACCTGCTGTCCTTGCGCAGGCTGCCCACCACGATGGTGGCACAGGAGAGGAACAGCACCAGGCCGATCACCACCCCTGCCACCAGCAGAGGGGACACCAGCAGGTTGGTGTCACCGCCGCTCTCACCGGAGCCGGGGAAGGCGCTGGCTGCGCTGCTCTGGTTCGAAGGAACTGCTGGCCAGAGAGAGAGAGAGACAAACGGGTCATTTGTCACAGAGGATTACAGAGCCCAAACTGAGGGGTTTGCAGAGCCCTGAGAGTCTCAGACACATCCATTGCASCAGTTCCTGCTCCTGTGGAAACCCCATTTATCAGACTGATTGCTGAGGCTGTCAGGAACTGACTCCAGGGGCGACACTGGCAGTCGCTTCCCTGGTATTGGGAATATCCTGCTGGAGYCATTGGTGGATGCTCCATAATTTTGATGGCTTCTTCCTGCCAAGAATCTTTGTACCATGAATTGACTGACGCTGAAAGAACTGAAGTGCACAAGGAGGAAAGTGAAATTCAAAAGGGTGAGCTCCAAGAGGAAGAGAGGAATTTCCTGTTGTTAGGGATGTGAGAAGACTCCAAGGCTTTGCAGGGAAAGTTTTGAGCAAGAGTGGACCAGAGGCTCTAGTTTTGTCGTACAGGGCTTGCCTTAGTTTGTGAGGTGAGTCGGCATCCCAAGAAACAAATTTGTAGTGAGGGAAGAGACTGATCCAGAGTAGGATTGTTTGGTTGCAATTGCTTTACTGTGGCTAAAAAAGAAAACAAAAACAACCCAAAACCAAACCAAACCAAACAAAAACCAACCAACCAACCAACCAACCAAAAACCCACAACCACCACCAACAAAAAAACCCCAACCCCCCCCAAAAAAAACCCCAAACTTAAAACAACAAAAATACCCCAAAACCCAAACAAAAATCACCTAAACCCAAAACCCCAAAAACCAAAACAAACAAAAATCCACCAAAACCAACCAACCAAATATATATTATTTAAGTTCAGTAATAAATCTGCTTAAAGGAGAATAACTCCAGTAATTCATTGTCAAGTGAAACATTGTTTTGAGACAAGCTGCAGAGAGAGTATCAAAAGTTAAATAATAATTTTCCCTTAGACAATCAACCAACGACAAATGATTATATATGGGAATTAATTTCCCAGAGATATATTTATGGCGTATTKCAGTGCTAGTGGAGGGGAGGTAAATGGCAGAAATGACATGAAAAAGGATTCAGGATTTTAGCCYCCAAATTAAATTGCAGTTTCCCCTTACCTGCTCAGGATCAGTAACCCAAAATTTTATCGATGCAAAAAAATATTGGAGATGCCATATACAAAAACAAGTTGTCAAATATGGTCTGAATATATTCTTCTTTCTGGTTATATGCTAGCTGAACAAATGATTCCCTGCTGAAATCAAGGCTAACCAAGTTTTCTCCCTTGAATATTCTGTGGAGTGAATATGTGCTTTGGGAAGTACAATGCTCTTTATAAGGATAGATGTTATCAGAGAGATCTCAGCACTGTTTTCTCTGCTCTTTTCCTTTGGGAGACACCACTTAGTGTTTTRCAGTCACAGTCAGTTTGGAATGGAGACAATGGCTTCAAGCCAATGCATGTTATCTTTGGCTTGAAACTGAGGCAACCAACTGAAAACATGTGTATAAAAATGGGGAATTAGCATGGAGTGGGGTTTTGTTAATTTTCTGGAAGCACTTGACTGTTGGCTGAGGATCTTTATAAACATTTAAGACAGACAGCCAAGAAATGTGCTGAGCTTTCACCAAGTATTTTATGCCAAAAAGAAGACTGAATTTTCTGAAAATTAAATTGATGCATTAAATAAAAAGGTTATGGACGAGATTGAGTGTTGTACTCAATACTAAGTGCAAAGAAGTTTTGCGTATGGGATATGTTTGGGGGGTAAATTCTACTGATTTTAAGGCTTGAACTCAACTTCCTGACACTTTACAGAATTGCAATCATATTTCTCATTTGTACATTTTTAGCTATCTCTGTTGGTAATGTGTCCAACACATGTTCTCACTGCCTTTCCATAGCCTTGTTTTTTGTGATTTTTGCAATTTCTGCCATTGGGAGATGCAAATATCACAGCAGTGGCAGTTTAAATCCTGGCTGCAGGGAATTGACCCCTCAACTGGAAGTACTGGCACATAGTTTCTTGGTAATTCTGGCTGACTTGCCAAGGTAAAAGAAGAATCAACTTTGTTTTCAGCACGATGAGAACGTGAGCCTGGGGTGTGAGGCTGCCCTGTGCACTGTTAGGTTTGTGGTCATCAATTTAATGTCAAATAGTGTTGAAATAAAGTTGGTGAGAAACCTCTGTCATGTGGGGAGGAAGAAGGCTGCATTGAGTGCTTTCAGATATTTTAAAACTTGGGACAAATTCTAAAAGATTCTCTAAACAGAAAGGGCCTGTCTAAGATAAAGCAATATTTATCTTTTGTCTTATTTCCAGTTGTGTGTGGAAGGTGGCTGGAATATTAACAGTGACTATTTGGGAGATTGCTGTGGTGCCACCCAGTGTGAGCACTGATATTTGGACCCATTTTGCTTTACAGAAGTTTAACAGTTTCACAGTGACTTCCTAGAGAAAGTACTCTCTTGCCTTCTGCACTGGTATTGAGGTGGGRTGATTGAGTTCCAGACAGTCTATTTATCCACCACATTCTCAGGGTTTCCTCTGCTGTCCCAAATCTTGTCTGGTTTATTGTTTCTCACCATCGTGAATCTTTCTGGGTTTTTTATGCTTTTAATCTAATTGAGCCCAGTCTCTCATAAACACAAGTTATAGTGCAATATTGCTTTTATTAGAAGGAATGAATGAGTCCCCTTAGCCCAGCTGCTGACACAAAATGTACTTGATAAACTTCTCCCGTGGCACTATTTTCAGTTTGACACTGAATATCCAGACTTTCCCASTGTGACAAACAACAACAGAATGAGATGCTGTGTTGATATAAATTCTTTGGGTTTCAGTTTTGCAGGGGGGGAAAAAAAAGTACTTATATCACTTTTGGCAAAAGAAATCTCACAAATTTTTTTCCTCTGATCCAGAACCATCTTCTTTTGATAAAGTGTGCATTTCTGTATATAAAAATGCTATGKTTTTTCCTTTAGAATAGAGGTGTCTTGAAATGTATGTGAAGCCCATAAATACAGCACCAATACCAGAGTGCTAAYATTTTTGTTTTGAGGTAAGTTGTATTCTTTTCCATGAAACTGCARATTGTAAGCAATACATACATAAACATGAATAATTTTAATCCAATCCTCTAAATATGAATTGGGTTGGATGTACACCATGGATTTTGTCCATGATAGGAGCTGTCTATCTATCTAGAAACAGCACAAATGGCACAGGCCTGACAGAACACTTCCTTTAGAGTGAGTACCAGTGGAAAATTGCCTGGACTGTSCATTCAGTATCACACAATAAATTAGCAATTTGCAAAATCCCTTAAATATCACAATATGTTGACTTACTCAGTGCTCCTGCATCTCAACAAACCAATTGTACAGTAGCTGAGAGAGGTATAGGACAGCCTAACTTTTCAGGGGTGTATTTTACTCCTGTCARCCTGCCTGTGAGGGGACACTCTTGTCCCTTTCTAACTTGGCCATAAGGAATGGGRAAGTTTCAGGGGATCAGATGCTGACAGGTGAAATGTCCTGGTGTGCAGACATGTCCTGGGAGCTTGGTTCACCCCACATTCAGCCCTTTATTAGGAGAYGCTTCTCTCTTCCTCAGTTCCTTTCTGCTGCTTGTACCCCACGGGAGAGAGAAGGGAAGCACCTACACATAAGTGAAAGTCTCCCCTGCACACWGAAACAGCTGAGTTTGGTGGTGTTAGTGGGGTCTTGTTTTGTTTCCTTTTGTCCTGAAGGCACATCAGCTCTGGTGAGGCTGCCATAGCCTCTSTAATTAACTGTTTGGTTTGAGATGATTTTAAATCTGGATCCTGCTGAGATAACCAAATCTCCTCCTCTGGTTTCTGATCTATCATCTTAATAAAGATGCTAATTCATGTTATGACTGGTGCAGAKTATGAGACAGGGAGTGGTTTTGTTTCCCAGGCTGAAATGTGCATAAGGAGCTCCTGAAGAAGCGCTGGTGTCCTGTACTGTGCAGAATTACCCACCCCTTCACCCCTGCCAGCCTGGACTCCCTCCCGAGGGCAGCATGGGCTGTGCTGGCTTGCTGAACTGGAGCTGAGGCACTGGACAGAGCAGGAGTGCTCCCTGTACCCCCTGGGTTCATACAACTGTTGGGGATGGTGATCCAGCACCTCCTATTACCCTAAAATGCATTGCATAGGTATTGTATTATGCATTGTATTGAAATGCATAACAGAGTGTACAGGACTGGAAAGGAGAGGGGAAAAGGCATTTTAGGATAGTGCATAACACTCTTTATAATCCTTTGGTTTTTAAATAATCACAACAAAGCATCTCAAACACTGAARTAATTTAAAGCACATTTCTGACATCCTTTCTCAGTACCTTTGATTATTCAGTCTCTTGATTAAGGGGAGGTGAGTGGCAGATGTCAGGAAGGAGCTGAGAGCACACGGATACACAAAATCAGTGGAATGAGCCAAGATTTGGGTGATTCTGCCTTTATGAACAGTTCCTGTTCAAAGCTGGTTCAGTCTGGCMAAGAGTGACCAGTTGGACTCTGCACTTGCTGCTGCCCTGGGAAATAAATCTGTGGAAATCAGCAGAAATTGCACTGCTGGTTTCTGTAGCACAGATAAGGAGTTAAGGAGGTGTAGTACAAAAAGCTGGAAAAGGGTTTGGATCCCGGGAGCATCACTGCAGCAAGAGGAAAGGGGTATTACTCAGGCCTTTGAATACAAAGGCCCCATAGGAGCTAAACCCTAAAATTAACTAAAARTAAATGTCTCCACTGGATTCAAAGTTGTTCCATTGGATCCTGAGGAAGGTTGGAACTTCTCCTGGGCTTGAAAAATGCCAGGGTGTCATTTACTCATGGGACTAAAAGGAGGTGATGTGAAGAATGGGGAAGGCTATTGGTCCTTTTGCATTTCTCTTATTCTCTTGTAGAAAAGTGGAGCAAATGAGTGGATGACCACAACAGTCTGGGAAATGCCCTCTGTAGAAAGCAGTTTTACACCAGCCAGACAAATAGTATTGGAAAA